TTTGCCACTATAGCTGTACATACTAGTATAGCTGTACTGGCAAACCCTATCTAGACTAGACCTGGCCTAAGTAACCATGGGAATTAGCTCATAACTGCTATCTTGGATTCATTCTGCTATCTTGGATTCAACCTGCTCCCTATATGTAAATTTCCACTACATGCATCCAAAGAAGTGGGTATTCACTCACGAAAGCTCATGCTCCTATACGTCTGTTAGTCTATAAGGTGCCACAGGACTCTTTGCAACCTGCTCCCTGTTTACCTGACAAGCACCAGTATGTCTTCTCCCTCTGGCTTGTCAGGCTTTTCTGACTGTCCTCCTGCCCACCAGTGACAAGTATCTATCCCAACCTTTCTGCTAGGTGCAGAAACCCTCCTAACATAATGTATTTATTTGCATGTATAATTTCTAGGTTATACATTCATATAACTGTCAAATGTATCTTAATTTTTCTTGCTTTAATATAAGCAAAGAAGAAGATTAAAAGAGGAACATTTAATTAATGGAACTTTAAGGTGCAGATTTTACATTTACAAAAGCAATGTAATTCGTTCCGATTCCTACAGCAATTGCAACTAGCTCCCTTTGCACACATTAGGGCTGGGTGAATTACTTCAGATAAAATAAAGAGCCCTGCCCCATCTCCGAGGCCTCCTTTGGGGAAAAACACCTATATGCAAACTTGACTTTTATTGCAATTTTAAAAGTTTGGATAATTTTTCCTCCTACCTCAGTTATTCCTCTGACATTGGCATTTCAGGGATCTAGCAGGGACCAGAAATCCTGTAAGATAGCTGGAGGGGGTTTCCCCAAGATTTCCAGCCCAGTTTTAAAGACATAAGAGATATGGATAGTACAGATAAAGCATCTACACTTTCAGCTGCTTATTCAGACAAAACCTCTGACCCAAGCGTTTGGTTCAGATCCATCTGTGACTGGAGTCCTGAGGTCACTCAGTTAGGGTGAACTGCAAAGAATGGGGCAGACCATCCCCAAAGCTGGTGGATATTCCAATACTTAGGTTTCAGAGTAGCAGCCGTGTTAGTCTGTATCCGCAAAAAGAACAGGAGTACTTGTGGCACCTTAGAGACTAACAAATTTATTAGAGCATAAGCTTTCGTGGGCTACAACCCACTTCTTCGGATGCATATTGAGTGAAACATATCGAGGAGATATATATACACACATACAGAGAGCATGAACAGGTGGGAGTTGTCTACCAACTCTGAGAGGCCAATTAAGTAAGAGAAAAAAAACTTTTGAAGTGATAATCAAGGTAACCAAGTACAGACAGTTTGATAAGAAGCAAGTGTGAGAATACTTACAAGGGGAGATAGATTCAATGTTTGTAACGGCTCAGCCATTCCCAATCCTTGTTTAGCCCTGAGTTGATTGTGTCTAGTTTGCATATCAATTCCAGCTCAGCAGTCTCTCGTTGGAGTCTGTTTTTGAAGTTTTTCTGTTTTAAGATAGCCACCCGCAGGTCTGTCATAGAATGGCCAGACAGGTTAAAGTGTTCTCCCACGGGGATTTACCAAGCCAGCACAAAACAGCTTTTTTATTACCTCACCAGTTGCCCAGAAGCCAACAACACAGTTCCCTTAAAGTAACCCAGTCTCAGGCCTCCACCTAGACACTCAAGTCAGATATGATGAGGATTAATGAAAATCTTATTCATCATATAAAAAAGTTCTACCAATCCCAAAGGATCGGACACATTACCTCCCAGGTTAATGAATATTCCAGATCTTACCCAAATACATGCTACAGCCAGTTCTTGTTAACTAAATGAAAATTTGTTAAAAAGGAAAAGAGAGAGAGTATGGTTAAAACATCAATATACATACAGACATGAGTTCAATTCTTGAGGTTCAGATTCATAGCAAAGATGGTGAGCTTTGTAGTTGCAAAGAGTTCTTTTAGAATTTAGTCCATAGGTTATAGTCCAATGTCCAATATATATTCAGGGTGTTCCAGCTTAGGACTGGGATTTCAATCTTGTGACTCAAACTTCCCCTGGTGAAGCTTAAGCAGACCTAAGATAAAAAGGATTAGGATCCAAACATCTTGTATGCATTTCAGGCCTTCTTTGACAGGTTGGAGTCCCTCAGCGACCAATAGACCCTCATTTCCTAAGCATTGCCCGGTAATTATTCACACAGATTAACATAAGGCAATTGTCTGTTTTTCCACCATTCACAGATGATTTGCTATACATTTCAAAGAGAGATGAATACAGAGACATCCTATTTACAGTTCATTTAAATGTTAAGATGTTCTTTTGATCTCTGAATTAACAGAATACAGCATAGACAGGGACTGTTTGATTACATTGTTTTCCACTACCCATATATATGTAAATACACAAAAACACAAACATTATCTCCCCATATGTCTTTAAGGGTTGAATTTTAGTCATTTATCCTGTAGGATGCTTAACCCTTTCTGGTCATGCGTCACATCTTCTTTCAAAGAAGCCAGGCTCACAAGGTCTGAATGATTCCCCATCTTCACTGAGCACCTCCTTGCAGCAGGGCACCCTAACACCCGGTCTACAGTCCCACTTCCTCTCTCAGAATCCTAGGGACTTACCCAACAGTCTCTCTTGCCTCAGTAATACCCATCCTTGGGGCTGGCTTATTACAAAAACATAGTGCAAATAATCCATAACAGAAATCCCAAAACATAGTCCATTTATCACCCCCAGTGCATGTAGTCCTTATAACCCCACAACAGCTAGTCCATCAACATAGCACATACCATACTCTGGCATCCTCCACCACCCTTGGGCTCTACTTCTGTGCTCCCCTGGTCTTCTGCCAGGACAGCCACCCAAGCCCTTACAAGTCAAGTGCATCTCCACTCTTCCTAGCAGAATAACGCCTTCATCCCCCAAACCTTCTGCTGGGAGTTCATCCTCACCAGTGGAGTATCTATTGCTTCCCCTGTTCTGTTAACCTCTCATCTCAGACAGGTAAGCAGGTAGGTGTTTCCACTGTTCCCAACTTCAGCCCTTTCTGGTCCTCAGCTCCAGCTCTCTGGCTTGGAAGTCAGCATGCAATGCCCTCTGCTGCTCTTCTGCCTTTAACTTTCTGGTCCTGCCTCTCGGCCTTTGGGAGGTCAGCTAGCAAACCCCCCTCTAGCCACCCCTACAAGCCTCCTCCCTCTCTAATTCTCCCTGATCCTTTATAGCACCAGGTGCTGCTCTGCCTTTTTAATTGGCCAATTGGGAGCACCTGTACTTGCACAGAGGAACTGGACCTGCTTCATTTAAAGGGGAAAGCCACCTTGTGACACTAAACATCATCATGCTGCTCTCAGTCTAAGATGATATTCTCTGATTTCTGGGGGTGATGTGTCCATTTAAATAATCACATAAAGTGAATGTTGACTGGTGTGCCTTTGACTTTGTGGCTTGACAACTTCTAACCTTTAGTTTTACTCTTCCTCTCTCCCCTTCCGTATGTCTGTCTAATGCTTGTGTTTTATGTGCTATTCTACAGGCAGAGAGCATGCTGCTTGTGCTCTGTGAGAATGGCTTTGCTCTTCAGGTTCCTGCACCCATCCTTGGAGAACAGGACACAGTATCCACCTATGAGATCAAAGACCTGCCCACACAGTATTTCCATTTCTGCAGCATTAAATCCCGGATCAAGGTAAAGAACTGTCCTGTGGGGAATTAAATTCTCAGCCCTCAGTTACCAGTATCCATAGAGTGCAAAACTACTCCACTCAAGTTGCTAGTCTGTGTAGTGCTGAATGCAGGGTTCTAGCTGAGCCATTCATAAGGAGGGACCAAGCACAGACCACTCCTGGCTTTGCTTCATCTATTGGAAAATACATGTTGTCAACACTAATTCATGGAAATAAAAAGTGGAATTGAGGAATAACATATAGCTTATAATGCATGTATATTATAGGATTACACTAGTGGTAGTAGAGATAAAGTTAATATGTCACTTCCATTCTAAAATATATTTTTAGTTTTTAATTTTCAGAAAAATTATCCTTACAGCTGTAATTTCTCATGCTCGATCCCAGCCTCAAAGGAAATTCTTTTGAACAGTTTCATAAACATGGATTTGGCCACTTTTGAGTTAATCAAACATGAAAAATGGTTGTTTTTCGCCAGTAAAATTTTTCTGATACTTTTTGAGTGCTGTGATAACTGTAAATGGACTCTTATACAAAAAAAAATAGTCAGTGTGACATTGCACTCTATATGATTTTATGAAAGTATGCTGATGAGTGTGAACATAATGTAACTAAAATATGCTTCATGTAAAAGGTCTCTTGTAAGGTACCATTACAAAGTTTATAATCTACTGTGTGGTCATCCTATTTGTATAAATATATCACTCTTGTATCAGAAACTAGAAATATGAAATATAACTCTGAGGGCCTATTGTAATTATACAAAGTGTGGGCCATTAATGATGGTTTGGAATCTTGAAGGCTCCCATTAACCAGGACAATTGACTGTAGATGGCTCTGTTTTACTTGTAAGTCTTCCTGTACACGTGTGTGCTGGCAAGTGGGTAATGAAGTCTTACAGTGACATGTGATCATGTCACCTGACCTGGAATCCATCTTTAACCTGGTGCTTTTCCATTGAGAAGGAGGGGGTGGGAACCCAGAGAGGGACAAAGGATTCCCGCCTTGTGCAAAAGATATATAAGTGGGATGGAAGAGAACAAAGGATGGGGCCATCATGAGAAATCCCCTAGCTACCACCTGAGCTGGAACAAGGGCTGTACCAGGAGAAAGGATTGTGCCCAGACTAGGAAGGTGTCCAGTCTGTGAAAGAAACTTATTGAAACATCTCTGAGGGTGAGATTTTATCTGTATTCAGTTTTATTACTGTATTAGGCTTAGATTTGCGTGTTTTATTTTATTTTACTTGGTAATTCACTTTGTTCTGTCTGCTATTATTTGGAACCACTTAAATCCTACTTTCTGTATTTAATAAAATCACTTTTTACTTATTAATTAACCCAGAGTATGTATTAATACCTGGGTGGGGGGGCAAACAGCTGTGCATATCGCTCTATCAGTGTTCTAGAGGGCAAACAATTTATGAGTTTACCCTGTATAAGCTTTATACAGGGTAAAACGGATTTATTTGGGGTTTAGACCCCATTGGGAGTTGGGCATCTGAGTGTTAAAGACAGGAACACTTCTGTAAGTTGCTTTCAGTTAAGTCTGCAGCTTTCGGGCACATGGTTCAGACCCTGTGCTGGAGCAGACTGGTGTGTCTGGCTCAACAAGACAGAGTGCTGGAGTCCCAGGCTGGCAGGGAAAGCAAGGACAGAAGTAGTCTTGGCACAGCAGTTGGCAGTTCCCAAAGGGGTTTCTGTGATCCAACCCGTCATAGTCAGCATTGCATCTATGCATTCCTCAATGAGGACTCGCTCCTTTGAAGACGTGTGGCCAAATTCATTGCTGGTATAAACACGGGCAACACCTTAGATAGCACTGGAGTTACACACTCTTTCAACAGTGGGTATTTTAGGAAACTGAAAAAGCAGCTCAGTGGCAGGGTGAGGATTAGAACACTGATTCCCTGACTCTCAGCATCAGTACTCCATCTACCACGTCACAGCTGCTTCTCTTGAGTGATGGCACTTCCACTCTCAACCGTACTTTCAAAGATTTATAACTACTATTTTTATGTTTTGTTAAAGATCTGGCAAAGCCCCAGCATCCACAGTGACCAGGAAGAATTCAGTACTCAGGAAGAAGAGATGTCTTTGGCTACCTTACAAAGCTAATATTTCCCTGGGAAAAGATAGCATGATATTTGACACTTATTTATGCTAAGATAAGTTTTAATAAAATGAAGATTTTCAAGATTGTATAAATTGGCCATGGCAATACTCTTCAATTCAGTGTTCAGAAGGAAGGTCATTACAAACATTTTGTTTTCACTTTAAACTTATGTTTGAGCACAAACAATGCCACATAGGAATCTGAATTCAGGTCTCCAGCATGGTCCCTTTTACTTTTGGGCACATAAAGGACAGAGTTCGGGAACACTGCGGAAGTAGTGCATCCAGTCCATGAGTTGATAGAGAACCTCCCATTGCTGTCAAGCAAACCCTCTGGCTAACACAAGGCTTGATTGGTTTGGGAAAAGCTGCATTTAGCATGTCTCTGGTGGAGGGTGCTTGCTGTTTCATTAGTCCTTGGAAGCAGAATATAAGAGGAGGCGGGAATGAGAGGATTCCCACTGCAGCTTCAAATGAGGTATGATGGGGCTTGTCTACACAGGCCTTGCAGTGCGGACTACGGGAGTCTGAATTGCTGAGTGCATCAAAGTGTTGTGCTGTAACTACTCCATGTAGTCCCTGCTAGCTTGAACTAAAAGGTATCTAGTTTGTGTTAATGCAGTCTGTTTCAAATAGGACTCTGTTAACTAGAAACATGTACCTTTTAGTTTGTGCTAGCAGGGCATATATGGGCAATTGCAGCACAACATTTTAGTGTGTGCTGCATTTCACACCCCTATAGTCTGCACTGTGGGGTTGTGTAGACAGGCCTGACCTCTGTTTAGTTGCGAGGAATATTTGCCTAATTTCTAGCATTTTTATCATGAGAGCCTTTCAGTCAATGGTGCATTGGTTTCATGACTCATTTTTCACTGCTTTCTGTAACAGAGGGAAGAGGAGATTGAGCGCAGAGAGAAAAAGAAACAGGAGGAGGAGAAGGCAAGGTTGGCGTGGATAAAGAAACAGCAGGACATGGGACTTGAGATAGAAGAAGAGCCAGAGGCAGAGCCTAAGAAAGAGGAGCCACTGCCACCCATCTACGTCCCACAGGAGCCCAGCCCCATCGTCTGTGGGTTTTATTCAGCACCAGGGAAATTCTGGCTCTCTTTGGTAAATTAAATATTCTTTCATTTTTAATTTGAGAAAGGGATTGGTAAGTGTAGAGACAATAAGATTCATGGACTTGGGGATTAGATGGCGTAGAGAACTGGTATTTGGAATAAAAACCTTTTGCCTCTAGGACACAAGCTCATATGTGCCCCATGCTTGAAGATATCCAAATGCTCAGAGAAGACCAAGTGCTTGATGTGAGTGCTGAGTGGTCTTTGTGAAATGGTTTTACAGTGTCATTCCAGTTCACAACAAATGGCACTCTTTTTGGTGGTCTCCCCAGAGAGGCCAAGGTAGTCCTTTCCCCACTAGTAGATGGTGGTCCCTTGTGGTCATGACTGAGGCACATTGGTGGGACAGAGAGGGATGGCAAATGCTTGTAACTCCACTGATAATGGTGGACTTATTCTGCGGATAAACAGCGTTTCCAGGGGGTTTTAGTCTGGCTTCTTTCACTTGCAATGAATTCATTTTTAAAAAGAAATTTAAGAAAAGAGCAATTGTTCATGTATTTTCCTGGGCACCTGCATCAGCATCCTTTCCTCATGTCTTCTTCGTGGCTCTTCTCTTCTTTAGGGTGGCTATGACTCTGGGTACCTCTACCACTGTGCATTCTCCCCGATTCAGCACCAAATATCCCCTGAAAGCAGGCAAGATGAGCCCTTTGAGGCGATTCCTATGGAGAACACAGATGACAACCCCATCCAAAGGATCTCTTTCTGGTAAAAGAGCTTATGCACTATGACTTACTAAACTGATGAACTGGAATCATGAGATATCATTGTATATTCCTCTGTTTCTTTCCTTGTGTGGATCAGTATCCATGTGCAAGAGTACTGATGCTGAGAGTCAGGTACACTGGATGGTTCAGACCCTGGGTCTGTGTTGGAGGAGTCTGGCTCAACACGACAGGGTGCTGGAGTCCCAGGCTGGCAGGTACACTGGATGTCAGTGTTTGAGCATTGGCCTGCTAAACCCAGGGTTGTGAGTTCAATCCTTGAGGGGACCACTTAGGAATCTGGGGCAAAATCAGTACTTGGTCCTGCTAGTGAAGGCAGGGGGCTGAACTCGATGACCTTTTGGGGTCCCTTCCAGTTCTAAGAGATAGGTATATCTCCATATAAGTGTCTCTATTCCCTGGTACCTACAGTTAGTTGGTTACCAGCTTTAGGATTCCTGATGGGTAGGATTTGTCAGTACAGCTGTGTAAAATACATTATTTTGTCTTTTAAAAAATGTTCATGTTGAAAATGCCCACTTTTTTGAGCACTCAAAGTTCAATTGTGCCTTTAAGATGCAACCATGGATTGGGAAGTTCTCCCCAAGGGAAGCCCTGGGATGCTGCTACTTCCTTCGGGGGGTGCAGTCCACTACCTCGGTGCTTGCTTGGCCAGTGGGTAGGGGGATGGAGTCATGGCCTTACCTCCTTCCATCTCTCACCCTCTTTAGGGTGCTCTTTGCTCCCCAGGAGAGTATGGAGGGAGCAAGCCCCACACTTTCATTGTGCCAGGCCTGCAGCTTGAACTGGACGTTATGTGGACTGCACAGGTGGAGTGGAGAGCTCCTTGTGCTCTCCCCACCCCATGAGACCAGGCCTGATCTGACCCCAAGGAAGCAGTTTTAGGTTATAAAAACTGTAATTTACATCTGTCTTCTTCTCTCCTTCTATTGGGTGGAGTATGGGGAGCTGAAAGTCATCTCCCAATCCCGAACCAGGCTGTGTGGCAGCCGTGCAACCCCTCTTTAGCGGCTAATCCAGGCTGTGGGTCACAACCAATCTGCACCTGTTGTGCAGGGTGTTGGAGCCCATTGGAGCCATGCAAATCCAGATCCAAAACCCTCCAGAGCCCATTCTTTGTCCACTCCATATTGATTTTCTCTGCTACCCCATGACCCAATTCCGAAGCCAGTTCCATGATGTATAGGAGGTGCATGGTTATCCTTGTACAGTCACTTAGTTTGCCAACAGCCTTCATCTCTTGGGCAGGGCATAAGTGGTACGGGTGAGAGAACCTTGCTCCAGCCCTTCATACCCGGGTGAATTTCACCCATTGTGTTAATTTAGCTTTCGTTCACAAGTGTCATTGGCTCTTTGCTGTTGCAACATTAACTGTTCTAGATCAGTACCTGGAATTGTTTAGCTTTTGTTCACTTTACAGCACCAGCAAGCTGTTGATGTTCTGTGGGATGAAGGATGGAGCAGTGCGAGTTTATCCTCTCCAGGACAAAGACCTGTCAGCAGACATGATGAACGGATACTGGTCCTTCAACATGCATGACAATGATTATGGCCAAATCCAGGCAATCTACTCTAGTTATGATGACCGATTCCTGGTTACCTGTGGAGCAGATAGCAACATCTTTACCTTCAATATCCTGTCTCCAGAGGACATTCAAAGAGAGCTAAAAGCCAAAGTGCCCTCTCCAAGAGTGAGTGACTGAATGAACACATTTCCTAATTCTTCTGTATTGTGTTCTGGTGCATAGGTAAAAGCATTACAGTTCATTTTTCAGGACATGTCCAAATCTATGAATACCAGAGTACCCTCTAGTGCTAAGTAATGCGGGTCTGTTACTACTTCTGTGCAAAAAACACTCAGTCCTTTTGCATTGTGGGTCATTCATGGCAAAAACTGGGGATTTTCAAAGCAATTTGTGAATATGAGCCCATGCAAAATGTCTGCTAATGTAATAATAGTCTTTATGTCTGTAATTCTCCTTCTCTTTCTCCTCCCAGTGCTTTTTTTCTTACCTCTAAAAGTGTAAGGTCTGTTTATTCTGTTGATGTACATGGCCTCCCTTAGCTAATCATCACTTCACGTGTTTGTATGTTGAGAACAACAAAGATCTGGCAGATTTTCTCTCTATTCTGTGCTTCTTTTTATTAAAGTGCAGTTCTACTCTGAATAGAGACTTAGGCCTGGTCTACACTACGACTTTAATTCGGATTTAGCTGCGTTAATCCGAATTAATCCTTAACCCGTCCACACAACGGAGCCAGTTACTTCGAATTAAAGGGCACTTAAAATCGATTTCTGTACTCCACCCCGACGAGCGGAGTAGCACCAAAATCGATTTTGTTAATTTGAATTAGGGGTAGTGTGGCCGCACACCACCGAATTAATGTGGTTAAAATTAATGGGGTAGTGTGGCCGCACACCACCGAATTAATGTGGTTAAAAACCGAATTAATGTGCTTAGTGTGGCCGCGCACAATCGAATTTATACAATCTGTTTCCCAAATTCGAATTATCTAAATTCGAATTAATCTCGTAGTGTAGACGTACCCTTAAAATATGGCAGCATAAAGGCACTATGTTTATTTTTTATCAGTGGCTTCTGTACCACAGTTGCTCAATTTGTAAGTAAAGAAGGAATTTTTTTTAAATTTACCTAACCTGCGAACATCCCATGAGAACTGAGAGTTAAGCTGGGCTCTTTCATTCTCATACATCAACACCAGTATTAAAGATTCTGCAGGCCAAATTAGGGCCTCTAAAACCCCCGTGCTGCCCCATTACCTTTATTGAGTTTTCACAGATTAAACTGATTTGAATTTAGGAAACAATTCTATTGATGATGCACTAGAAGGAATACACTTCCGCTAACTCTCTTAACTGTATTGGTTTTGCAGGGGTAACAGGAGTAAAACTCAGTAAAAGCTTAATGAGTCACTGAAGTAACCAGATCTGACTCCAAAAGAAAGAGAGGTCTGTTCAATAAAAAAGTGCTATCTTGACAGAATCATTTTTTGAGTAGATTGCACTTTAAAATATTTTCATAAAAATCTGATAATCTCTAGAGCCCTGTGCGGATACACAAATGTGTATCTTCATCTGATCCGCTATCCGCAAAAATTATCTTCTGATAGCTGCAGATATCTACGGATTTGTAGGGCTCTACACTGGGGGCCAGGCTGAGGCTCTGAGGCATCCCCCCTCTCGGAGCCCTGTCAGGAGACCTGCGTGGGCAGCTGTGGGAAGCCCGCACAGAGTCGCGGACCCTCACCTGCCCTCGGCTGGGCGGAGAGGACACAGCTAGGGGCTGCTCAGAGCCCCCCCACCGCTGCACCATGGCACCCAGGGCAGCCCCCCACCCAGTGTCCCAGTACCCTGCCCAGGGCAGATGGAGGGACCCAGGCTCCCCACAGCTGCCAGTGCGGCTCTCCCTGACCCGGCTCTGGGCAAGGGGGTGGTTTGGAGCCCAGGCCGGCCACAATAAGAGCTAGGCGGACAGCTGTGCTGAGCTGTGGCAGACCCTCCACCTGCCCTGGGCGGGGAGTCCGAGCAAACCCCGGCCCGTGTCCCTGCCCTCCCCCACCCAGTGTCCCTGCCCTCCATCCCCCCGCCAAATGTCCCAGCCTCTCTGCTCAGTGTCCCTGCCCTCCAGTTCCCCACACCCAGTGTCCCTGCCCCCAGTCCCTCTGCCCAGGCTCCCCAAAGCTGCCAACACGGCTCTCCCCCAACCCAGCTTGGACCCGCAGCCTGGCCATGGTAAGAGCCGGGCGGGCAGCTGTGGGGAGCCGTGGCGGACCCTCCACCTGCCCTGGCCATCCAGTGTCCCTGCCCCCCAGGCCACCTCGCCCGGGGCAGGTGGAGGATCCGTGCTGTGGTTCCTCACTGCTGCCCACCTGGCTCTTACCGCCATTTCCCTGCGCGGATACAAAATTTGTATCCGCATCCGCGCTGCTGTCCGCAGAACTGGTCCATGGATATAAAGCGGATACCCGCGGATTTGCAGGGCTCTAATGATCTTTATAACGTCATTTCCATAGCCTAGGTTGACAGCATTGCTTTATGTCCATCTTAAAAGTGCTATTTCTTATCAAAGGGAGTGTCTATTCTAGTTTTAGTCACATGGAAGAGTTTTCAAATTCTGTCACTACCTTTAAACATAAATGGGATTCATAGTGGGCCAAACTCAAATCCACTGACTTTAATTGAGTTACATCATGGATCAGTTTGGCCCCTGTATTCATTGGTAAATATTCCATTTGCCTCTTTTTTGCCCGGGGGAACCATTAGAACCTGATATTTAGTGACTCTGTGGTGTCATTCATCATGAAGGTTTCATCTGGCTTTACAAACATCACTTGACTTGTGAGGAGCAGTGTGGGGTTCTTCCTTAACTTATGGAACAGCCTCATGAGCCGTTGAGTGTCATTCCTTGTTTACGCAAAGGCTATATTTTTGCTTCACAGGGAGATCTTGAAAAGGAGAAAACTGCAGAAGATATTGAGGATCCCAGTGCCTACAGGTAAGGCGTGCTTGATGAAAGCAAGAAAGGCTGCACTTGCTGGTAGCTCTGCCTCCAGTTCATATGGCCCAGCTGTTTTGCCTTCTTAAAGAAGGCAGTAGCTCACTCCAAAGTTGGGCCATTGTCTCAAGACACATGGGGCCTTCGATGCCTGTGCAGCCTTTATGCAAACATCCATCTCATCCACCTGTTTTTGTAGCATGATGTTCTGACATTGTTATTTAACATATATGTTCTGATAGTACGTAGAGGCCTACTAAACCAGAGATCCCTGGTGCTAGGCACTGTACAAACGTGTAATAAATGATAATCCCTTCACCCAAAAGCTTACAGTCTAATGTTTCATTCTACTTTTCTTCAGCCCCATTGATTCCAGGGGAGCTGCACGAGTGTCAGTGAGGGCAGAATTTTGACCCGTGTTTGTTCCTGGCTAGAAGGCTACAGTATTGTGTCTCCTCTCTCTCTTCCCCTCCACCATCCAGATAATGCTGCTTCCTTTTTCTTGCATTTCCAGCATTGAGAATGCCAAGCAAAAAAAGGAATATGACCAGATAATGAAGGCAGCAGAAGACAAAAAAAACAAAAAGAGGCAAGAGCTGATCATCCTTAGGCATGAGTTTCATCACCTGCTTCAAAGGAACATGGAGCTGCCAAAGCACATGCAGCTACACAGAGAGGTACATCAGATTGGTGTTGTCAAGGTTCCTTCCCCACTCTGAACTTTAGGGTACAGAGGTGGGGACCTGCATGAAAACCTCTAAGCTTAACAACCGGCTTAGATTTGCTTTTGCTGCCACCACCCAAATGATTTGAGTTATTTGGGAAACTCTGTCTTCCCCCCCAAAACCTTTCCCTCCCGGGGTAGCCTTGAGAGACTCCTCCACCAATTCCCTGGTGAACACCGATCCAAACCCCTTGGATCTTAGAAGAAGGAAAAAATCAACGAGGTTCTTAAAAAGAAGGCTTTTAATTAAAGAAAGAAAGGTAAAAATCATCTCTGTAAAATCAGGATGGAAAATAACTTTACAGGGTAATCAGATTCAAAGAGCCCAGAGGAACCTCCTCTAGCCTTAGGTTCAAAGTTACAGCAAACAGAGGTAAACTCTCTAGCAAAAGGAACATTTACAAGTTGAGAAAACAAAGATAAACCTAACACGCCTTGCCTGGCTGTTACTTACAAGTTTGAAATATGAGAGACTTGTTCAGAAAGATTTGGAGAGCATGGATTGATGTCTGGTCCCTCTTAGTTCCAAGAGCGAACAACCCCCAAAACAAAGAGCACAAACAAAAGCCTTCCCCCCCCACCAAGATTTGAAAGTATCTTGTCCCCTTATTGGTCCTTTGGGTCAAGTATCAGCCAGGTTACCTGAGCTTCTTAACGCTTTACAGGTAAAAGGATTTTGGTGTCTCTGGCCAGGAGGGATTTTATAGTATTGTACACAGGAGGGCTGTTACCCTTCCCTTTATAGTTATGACAGGTGTATAAGTCCTTTATCCTTGGATTAGGCTACCACTTTAAAATGAGCTGTGTCCAGTGTGTTAGAATCAAAATATGGCCAACCCATTTTCCCCCTCTTCCCACTCAAGCTCCTTAAATAAACTGCTTCCCCATGGCACAGGCATTTCTGAGTGTGCTGCAGAAGTTAGTGCCTCAGAAGTACCTGTAAGACCTATAGACCAAGCAGCAATGCTGCTGATTTCCAGTCACTCTTTAAAGGCTACAGTGAAGGGAATGGAAGTATGATCGAGAAGCATCCTGAAGTGAGTGAAAGTGGTAAAACTAGCAAGGGGCAGAAGTACTGATTTGCCTAGGTTCGCCCTTGCACACTGTATTTGATTCCTGCTCTGGAGAAGCATTGGAGTTCATTAATTTTTCAATTTTAGATGGATTGGAAGAAGGGGTGTGTGTGTGTATATTTTAATATGCCAGGAGCTCCAACCCACACCTAGTGCTGGGTGACACTAGAGAAGAGTTTTGGAAGAACGTGGCTCTCTCCACTGTGGTGAACAGCTGCTGGAGTGAGCAGTTGGGTCGATGCACATTAACTCCTATGTCTGAACAAAAATATGTCTTAAACCTAACCACTGCTACTATCCTAGCCTAGCATTCAGCATGCTATGATACAGTTTCCCATCTATCTGCAGGAATTCGAGATGGACCACAGAATCCGTGAGGAGATGGATAGGCAGACAGCACAGAGAATCCAACTAGTGCAGAAGGAGTTGGCTTGGGATCAGGAGAAGCACCGCATTGGGCTGCAGAAATTGCAGAGTCGGTAAGGACTTGCCTTCTTTCACCCTCCTCCACCTTGAGATCTTCCATTAACTAAGTTCAATCTGCCTTGAGGAACAAGAAAGGAACATTTTCTTCATAGAACTAAAGTGTGTATATATGTCCTGTTTGTGACTATATTCTCATTTGGTCTGAAACATACACAAGTTAGGCAAGCACTGATATGCAAATCAGGTTATTACTGAATCAGGACTGTGCTATCCACCTCCATGGCATCAGAGCCAGGTTTTGGGGGAACAGCTCTGCTTGAGTTTCAGCCAGTGACATTTGCTGGGGTTCTAGAAGTGCTGGTGGAACTCTGAGGAATAAACTGTGCAGTGAACCCATGTCCTTCATGTGTGATGAAGTGCAGCTGGGGACAAACTGAGCTTGCTGTGGAAGAGATGGTCCTTGTCTCACTTTGGGAGGGCAATGTACCAGCATTCCTTAAGAACAGATGGTTTATTGAGTAGTGGTCAAACCATCTCCTGATGTGGAGAATCTCACCAATTAAAACCCTATTGGGAATCTCCGTTTATAATAAATATAATAATAATATATGGAGATATACCTATCTCATAGAACTGGAAGGGACCTTGAAAGGCCATTGAGTCCAGTCCCCTGCCTTCACAGCAGGACCAAATACTGTCCCCTGACAGTTCCCCCCCCATATCCCTCAATGGCCCCCTCAAGGATTGAACACAACCCTGGGTTTAGCAGGCCAATGCTCAAACCACTGAGCTATCCCTCCCCTCCCCTTTGTGGGGAAGAATGCTGTAGGGATGCAATTCTGTTGATTCCTGGACTCCTCAGATCTCCTTGACCCTGTCGAGTCCAGTTTTAGGCCTGAGTTTGATATAGAGATTGCTCTGCTAGGTGATTTTTCTGGTGGTAGACAAAGATCAACTATCTATGCTAGTTCACCTTGATCTGTCGGATGCCTTAGACACCATTTTGGTTGATGGGGTATTGTTGATATGCCCACGCTTGAGTGGCTCCATTTCTAGACTTCATGAGGTCAGTGGAAGGTACTTCTATCATAGCACTGATACCTGTTGTTTTATGTTTGCAAATACTATGGTTGTATAATATATTTAATTAGTATAATACATTGTTTAAGCCTTTTGGGGCAGCAATATGGGCTAGAAGGAAAATACGTCACAGACTGCTACTGCAGAAATCAGACAATAATGAATGCTATCTCTATTTTGTTTCCTTAGGTTTCGGGACACTCTGGAATTTGACACAGTGGTCGTTCATGCTATAGGAAGTAATCATCAAATCTCCACATATAGGCTCCTGGCAATCTCCGAGAGGTACTACAAAGCCAGAAAACAAAGTCAAACAGGGAAAAGGAGAACAAGCAAATTAGGAAAAGAAGCAGAGCAAAGGCGAGAAAGCCAGAAAGAGACAAGTAAGACATATGCAAAGGCCTAAATGCTGCCATTCTGTTTACCACAATGTGCTTTCCATCCTTCATTAGACCTTGTTTATTTTCCTGAGCTTGAGTGGAAGAGACTGCAGTATATCACATCACCTTTAAGCAAAGAAACTTGGCAACAGAAGGTGGTCACAGAGTTATCTTCATGTTCTGTTTCAGTCACCACTTTGCATTCTCAATCAACAGTTCCCCTGTGCCATTTAGAACCAGATGTTTTCCACATTCTAGTCAATGTTGGCAAAAACCCATCAACCCAAAGGGGAGACAAAGTTGCACAGCATTATAGTTTTTTTCACCGATTGATAATATGGCATGAGCAAAGGACCATTGACTTCAGCTATGCTGATTTATACCAGCTGAGGAGCTGGCCCAGTATGGCTTACAGTAGCTGTGACTTGCTTTTAGGTCACATCAGAATACCTAATGCTTACACATCCACTTCATTCTTCTTAGGTCAGGCTGCTGGAGTTAGTGAAGAGGCGATGGAAGCTGACAAGCTGAAGAAAAGGCCCCAGCTGCAAGGTGCTATAGGACGTTTTGGTGGAAACCGACTTGAACAAATTAGAAAAAATATGGAGAAAGCTGACAGGGCCAAAGCTAAGATTATGCAAAGAAGGAAGGAGTGGGATGAACTGTAAGTCCTGAATCACAAACTGCATCTTTCCATTGGCCTGCCTTTGTCTGTGGTCAAATAATTGTACTTAGCTCTCATATGCCACTGTTATGTTTTTGTATAATTCCCTATTATTCTAAGGGGGCAATTTAAAAACTAATTAGCTCCAACTGTCAGTTATGGACAGCAGATGCCCTGGAATCTCAGGTGAACCTTAGAATTTTTTGTGCTGTCTGCCACGGGTCCTCTTTTAAAGCAATGCCAATGTGGAGGGCTAAATGGCACAATCAGGTGGGGAGGTGAGGGAAAAGGAAGAAGGGAGTACTTGTTGGAGGTGTCTAATTCCGTCTTGGCTTGGGGCCACCAAGACTTCTAGGGTCTGCCCTTGATTAACCCCTTGAGCAGCGATAGTGTGGTTGAGCCACTTGCACTAACATCATAAACATTATGTTAGCATGTGTGTACGTACATGTCACACTGTCCCTTCCCTTTCCCTGCTGGCTCCGCTCTTAAAATGGAAAATGCCAAGAAAGTCTCTCAAAATGCATGGAAAACAGGAATCTCTTCAAACTTAATGTATAGCTTACTGACATGAATGGAGCCAGCAATGAAGGCAGAAAGATAGTGCAGTGAGTTGCAAATTCTTGAAGTCAATGAGAATTTGAGTGGATAAGAACTGTATGATTAGGCCCTGTACTCTATGCTGCAGCCAAGCAGAACTTTGCCAACCATCTCTCTGAGAAAGTCAGCAGCATGTGCTATGCACATTAGTTGAATTAGTCATGTAACTCCTATCCCCTCTCCTGCCCCTACCCTTTCCTTGGGTCTTAACATGGCTTGAGGTATTGAATCAGGGGAGGCGCTACACATGGTTGGTGCCGTCTCCTCTTTGTTGGGTGTTTTGTCAGCTGAAATCAGCTTTATAGCGTACTATCTGCTGCTCACTGCTATACAAGGGTCTTCTCTGAGCCCAGAGCTTCATTCAAGGGTCTTATATGAATCTGTCCTTAATGGCTACATCATGTATTTGTTTAGTTTTTAAAAATCACATTTTCCTATGCACGTTTGTTTTTCTCTTCAAAACTAAAGGAGACATTCGTCCCCAAGTATGGATCACTTTCTAACATTCCTGCTACACACTTAGATAAACTCTTCCAAACAATTGATATTTCCTTCTAAGTACTACTTAGTCTTCCGCTGACTCCTAACTCTTCTACCACGCCTTGTTTCACAAAGCAGAAGTTATCAACAGGTAAGGTAAGCACAGAGGTGGGAGATTTGGGCAGTCTTTGAATTTCTGCTTGGTTTCGGTGCTTGGCAGATACAAGAGCAAACCCAGTGACAACTATGAGAACCCCAAGGATGTTCAGGACATCAAAGAGGCTCAGGAAAACATGGGGGATTTCAAACTGAAGACAGCCACAAACTACAAGATCCCGGAGCACATGCGTATGAACGCAGAGAAGAAGAAGGTGCAGCTTAGGTCGTTAGAGGTGGCGGTATGTAAATGGATTCACTGGCAGTGGGACTGCCCCCTTTTTGGAAAATGAGCCATTGCAAAATGTTTTGAAAGTGACATGGTGGAGGGCCACTAAGGACAGACCATGTGTGGTCAGTTTTAACTGCACATTGGTGCTCATTTTGCCAAGCTTTTGTGTTTCACCTCGCCCAAGGTTACATCAGTCCATACCTGTTATAATAATCCTCAGATGGCCTTCATTGACCAAGCAGATATATTAAGCAGAGGAATTGATTTTTCCCTGCCGTTTAATAGAAACATGCTGCAGTGTTAGGAAGATTTTGGATTTTCATCCTCTGTTGGATGTAGCAGGCAACTTTGTTTCAGGCACAGATGCCTAAAATTGTTCTAAATGTACCTGAACCTGAGTGCTCATGTAGGGAGGATGCCTGTGGGAAAACTTAATTTGTTAATCTCACTAATCTCTGATGAGTGGGAATATACAGAGGTCACTCAAAGAAGAAAGGAGGTTGCTTACCTGTAACTTTGTTCTTTGAGAGTGTTGCCTCTGCATGTTTACATTCCCTGTCCACCTAACCCTCTTCTCAGATCAAGAACTCTGAAATTAGGGAAGAAACCAAGAGCAGCAGAACCAGGACAGTGGTGTGGGCTAGTTTTCCTGCAATAGAAATATTGTGGGAGCTGATCTATGTTTCTGCCTCTGCAGAAACACAGATAAGCATTTCGTAAACTGCAGCTGCTCAGGCTGGGTGGGGCTCTGCAGCTGCTGGGGGCAGAGGTGAGACCAGGACCAAGAGAGAATGGAAGAGCTGTTGTGGCACCTGGGATCAGACCTGGAAGCAGGTAGAAATGGGGTCATAGGACCAGGACCAGGCCCAGGAGCAGTTATTCCTGGTGAGAGAGAGACCCCAATTTCCTCATTCTGTTTTGCTGCCCCCACACTTTGCCCACACCTCGCCCCCATTCAAAGTGAACTTCTGCCACCTCTGGAAGGAAGGAACTGAAGTGTGGTTGGGGCCCTACTCCTCCTTTGATACCCATGGAATCTTCTGCAAGGGAAAGAGTGTGAGTGGCCTCAACAGATCCTGCTCACTAGAAAGATTCCACAGCTCAGTGCCAGGAGGTGCTAATCCCATAAGTGTGACTATGCAGAGGTGACACACTTGAAGAACAACAGTTACTGATAAGTAACCTCTCTTTATCTGTCGTGTTAAGCGTTTAAACCCTTCGGGATTGTTTAAGTTAGACAAACCACTGATCAGTGTCCTGTGTCAGAGAAGATTTTATGCTGTAGAAGTGTCCTTGGCAAGTCACACTAAAATTCCTCCTCTTTGCAGGTCCATGAAAAGAAATTGACAATGAACAAATGGATCATCTCACTTAGGGACCTCAAGGTGGCTATTATTGAAGAGATCATCTGCCTGGTCCAAGAATTGAAATCCATACAATCAGCCTTGGATGCATCTGAACAACTCCCTATTCCCCCGATCCCTCAGTTACACCCGGAGGAGACTCCAGAAAAAAAATTCCAGTATGACAAGAATATTCTTTTGAAGTTCAAACAAGAGCAGGAGAACAAGCAAAGGCTCTCTGAGCAGGTGGAAGATAATGCATCATTTGCAGTGTTTGGGGGAAAGTTCCTTCATGCACCTTCTCTAAAGGAAATAGATTCCCCATCAAGAGGCTCAAGTGTGAGATCAATGAGAATAACATCCTCAGTCACCCCAATGCAACCAAAGGTTTTTGAGATTGAAAAGGCAGAGCCAACAGAGATGGAACTGGAAATTTTAAAACGGGAGAAGATCAGAAACATTTACCTTCAGGAGACCTTGATCAAGAGGGTAGGAGAATAAAAGGGAACTTTTCAAGGGTGACTGCCCCTACCATGCCCAAAACAAAACCAATTCAGAGCTCTCTTTACAACTGTCCCACTGATGCTGTGGCAGCTTTTGGCTTTTGCATTGCCTTTGGGAAGTCCAGGAGAGTCCACTAGAACAAACTGTGGAGCTGATGTATTAAACTTCAGAGTGCACTAGAACACCATTGTGGGTATTACCTTGCCTCTGAAAGAAAACCTGTGGTTAACCTAGTTTTGGCAGATGCTCGTGCTGAAACTGTTGTACCTGCCCAAGGAAGAAGTTGGCAGATATTCTGCAAGAGGGTGGATGAGGTGGAGGTCAGTAACATGGGTCTACTGCTGCAGCAGGCAGGAGATTACATGAAAGTGCAGCCAGCATAGAAAAGTGAGATAGTTCTTTGGAGATTAATTGGGGATGATGGGAGGCATCGAAACATCTGTGGAATTTCTGGTGATTCTTATATTTGCACCATGGATATCAAAAATATTCCCAGGGATTAATGTTGTTATCTTGAATACCAAAGTAGCTCATAATAAATGTTGCTGGCAAATTGTTGGTTTAACAGGCAGGAAAATTTTCTTTTTTGCTTCTGTCTCTTGCCTTGCATATTTAAACTCATTTCTTGATTTTTTTCCCACTCCACTTTTCCCCCTTCCCACATTCCAGATCAATGAACTGGTGGTCACCTTTGATGCTGAGCTCCACCTCCTGCGGCACCAGAAGCTGAAGCTGGACACGCAGATGAAGTGTGCTGACCTACGTCACATCACGTGGTTTGAGGAGCTGCTTCTCCTTAAGAACTTTGAGAAACACGAGGACACTCTCCAGGAGCGTGTCAACAACCTCAGCAATGAGGTGGAAGAGATGCAAGTATGTAGGATACGCTATCTGATTTGTTACTACTGCAACTGGTGGCCTGGAAACAAACATCCCAAAAAGAGGCGGGAATGTCCTTCTGCTGCCCTTATGCACCAGCCAATTCCTTAGTGCTGAATTCTAAGAAACAAGAAACATTCGGTGATAATATAAGGGCAGTCCTTTTAAACTTAAATATGGATTCTTCTTTCCCTTCATGCTTGTATTTTTATAAACCATTGGAAGTATGAAATTAAAATCTATATCCTACCTTAAAATATGCAGTTCTCCTTTGGAAGGTGACTGTAAAAATAGTATCATGGGGCTCCACCTTTATGGCATCTCAGTGATGCCAGATCAGATTTGCTTTCTTTACAAATATAAAGGTGAATTTTCAAACTCTGAGGCCTACTAACTCATCCTGGGATCTGAGATTCAAGCTGGGATCTTTCTGGCTCATGCATCTTCAGTAGCAGATTCTTCAAGCCAAATTCTGCCCAGGGTGACATCTGTGTCACCCTTTCCTTTTTCAAATGGGTAACACAAGTATAACTTCAGAGAGAATTTGCCTCTGCAATTGGAACTTGGTTAACAGTGAAGAACTGAAGTCAGTAGAACCATGTTCTTTAAGTTAAACAGATGCTTATGTGCTTGCCTAGATTGGGGCCCATATTAGGGAAGAAGAAAAAAAAAGTGAATCAAATTTCAAGCTTACCAATTTCGACAAGTCTGTCTGTCTGTCTCTCTCTAGATGGATAAATTGCTCTTAAATCAACAACTGAAATGCATAAAATTATAATAATTAGCATTTATTTAGTGGATTTCATCTGAAGATCTCAAAGCACTTTGCAAAAGTGAGTCAGCATCATTATCCTCATTTTACTGATGGTGAAACTGAAGCACAGAGAAGGGAAGTGACTTGTCCAGCGTCACACAGCAAGTGATTGGCAGAGAACTGGGAATAGAAAGCAGAGAGCCCGACCTCCAATCCCTTGCTCACTACTAGGAATTGCTGCTTTTACATATACACCTCTATCCCGATATCACGTGACCCAATATAACACAAATTCGGATATAACACGGTAAAGCAGCGCTCCAGGGGGGCGGGGCTGCGTGCTCTGGTGGATCAAAGCAAGTTCGATATAACGCGGTTTCACCTATAACGCGGTAAGATTTTTTCGCTCCCGAGGACAGCGTTATATCGGGGCAGAGGTGTATGCTAAAAAGATCTAACAGGTGCTGACAACAGCCTAAAAGGCTAATGCTTCAACAGCTCTCTATCAGTTTAATATACTGAGTTGTTTTACATTGTTTGGGGGGGGTTGTTTTTGTTTTTTAGTGGAAATTAGACAACTACCTCTCACAGATGGAGGATAAAAAATATGAGATTGCAAAGCTTCAGGAACGCGAGAAGGCACTTTATGCCACTTTCCAAGCATCCCTTGGAGAGAACAACAAATTTGCCAGCTTCCTCACTAAGGTCCTGAAGAAGAAGATCAAGCGTGTTAAGAAGAAAGATGTGGAAGGAGACAGAGGTTGGATACGTTGTTTTTCTAGTTTTATGTATTCGTTTACACAATTCAGCCTTGCCATGTAGCGATGGCACTGAACTGTGTCCCAAAACTTGGCTGAAACCCTGGACAGATACGAGGCTTTAACCTGGTTCCAGGTCATAAACAAAACATATGACTAGGTCCAATCTATACTATAAGACCAAACTGTTTTGTAACCATCATGAGGGATAATAGTGTTGTAATCACATCCCTTGCACAATTGTAATTGTAGTGTCAAAAGACCTTAAAATCAGTGTTGAGGCATGTAGGTGTTGAGTGGAAAAAGGGAGCAAAGTTTTACACAGCTGCCGCCTATGCTGTACCTGATCTGTGGACAGCTGTCAGTCTGGCATCTGTGTACACTAAATTTCCCTTTCAATCTATCCATTGACTAATGAGTAATCATTAGGGTTGCCAATTCTGGTTGGACGTATTCCTGGAGGTTTCATCACATGACATAATCTTTAATTAAAAATTAATCTTTAATTCTTGGGGACTCCAGGACCATCCTGGAGGGTTGGCAACCCTAGTAATCATAGACCCAAGCTGTAATCGTCCATTAGTCAATTAATCGATCAATTCGAAGAACTCAATCTATTGGATTTTCCTCAGCAGATAGGTTCTGAACTGTTTAATACTAGACAGTACTATTGATCTGAAATATTTCTTCTTTATCTTTGATTTGGCATTTGGTTTCTAGGAGGTGATCATGTACAGTATGAACTGGCCGCAAATGTAGGCAATAACAACATACAGCTCACCTTTTTAGTTAGTTAATTTCCTCAGCCAGATGGTAACACACAAGATGACCGAACCCCAAGGTTTCAATTCAGAATAACTACAGTACATTAAAAAGGATATATACACTAAGGAATGCAAAAAAGAAAGAAATAAGGTACCTTTATCTAACTGTGCATGTACCAATATCTGTTAATCCCTTTCTCCACTTCTTTGTCCTGTGGATTCATTGAATTAGTGGAAGGGACTGAAGGTGGTTGGGCCCACATGTCCCTTTGCTAACCTCTTTCAGAACATTTGAATTGTTGGGGGATGTGTTCACTCAGACTCAATGGGCACTGTTCTCCCATCTCATAAGTAGGGATCTGCAAAAATAACATACAAGGAGAACACCTATTGCTGTAAGTGACCTTTCCATGCCAGGTATGAACTTTAAAAATAAAACTATTTGCGTCGCTGATCCGAGTGCAAAGAAACAAACCTGACATTTCTAACAGCAGAATATATTTTTCTTTCTGTCTTCTGATAGCTCAAAAATAGCCAGCCAAATGACATTTTACCAGTTTCCCCCAAAATTCACCCGTGGGTTGTGTACAAGTATAAGAAAATTCAGTCCAAAGAGTCATTTTACGAAAGTTTTTAAGCAGCCTTAAATAGTTTATAAGAATGAACATCCATCTTCATCTATAATTCTAGGGTCTCTACTGTAATCCTATAATACAAGATACTGTCACCTTTTCCCTTGCCTAATACCTGATGTGTGTAAATGCCAGCATGAATTAACTTCTGCTGAGTCCTTTCAACTCACTATACATTTCTTTAATAGGACAACTTTTTGTACAGGTAAGATACTGTATATAAGTGAGAGATACTGTACCAGTCTGGGCTTATGCTAGTGGGATCAATGTATCTAACAGGGAAACTAGAATCCTTGAGCAGGAGCCAGTCACCATTTTGTCTTGTTCAAAATATATAATCACCACCTTTCTGGGAAACTAGCTCTTTCCAGTTACTCTAAAGGGTTAATTTACTGTGTCATTCTTAGGCCTGGTCTACACTAACCCCCCAAGTCGAACTAAGGTACGCAACTTCAGCTACGTGAATAACGTAGCTGAAGTCGACATACCTTACTTCGAACTTACCGCGGTTCAGACGCGGTCCACACGCGGCAGGCAGGTTCCCCGTCGACTCCGCGGTACTCCTCTCGCCGAGCTGGAGTACCGCAGTTGACGGCGAGCACTTCCTGGTTTGACTTATCGCGTCCAGACCAGACGCGATAAGTCGAACCCAGAACTTCGATCCCCAGCCGCCGAACTAGCGGCTGGGTGTAGACCAGCCCTTAGACTGCAAACTCTTCTGGGCTGGAATAGATCTGAAGCCCTGATCCTGAAACTGACAGTGTCTGGGTGGACTGCTGAGCCTTTGTGACTTCAACAGGGCTTTGTGCAGGTGCAGCAGTTTGGCTACATGCCGTCAGTTGCAGGACTGTGGTTTCAGTAGTTTGTAAAGCACTGTTTCCATTGGTGGTGCTCTTTAAATGATTTAATTGGCTTTTGAAAGCCAGGAGTATGGTATTGCTCATTAGGGCTCTACTGGCGTGCTGTACAGCCAGCCGGCCTGTCACAGATTAGAACCAGGGTTTTCTGAATGCTAACAATACTGCTTTCCTTTCCCAGATGAAGAGGAGGATAGCGATGAAGAGAGTGATGATGAGTCTAGCTTGGAGAGCGATGAAGAAGATTCAGGATCTGATGATGAAGTCTTTGATGACTCTGTTTGCCCAAAGAGTAAGTGAGCCATTACTTTCCGGTGCTCTCTACTTGTTTAGCTTTATGGGTAACACTGTGAATTTAAATTCAAAATCAGGATTTTTTTCTTAGGTTTAATAATATTATTATGGCCCAGATTCTTCCCCTCCCATGTTGAGTAGCACCTTGCTCCTTAAGTAATCTCAATGATGCAGATGGGACCACTGTGGAGAAGAGTACTACTCAATTTGAGTAAGGATGACAGAATCTGGCCTGTGTGTTAAATAGCATTTGGTTATTTGTAAAGAGGAGTAGCAACCATTTGCAATAGATAAACATAGATAAACGTTTCAGTATTCCCTTGCTTCATCAACCTATAATAACTGCAGTGCAATGACATATAGCCTAGGGGACCTCAATTACCATCTCTGGGGAGAAGGTAAGTGAAGGAAAAATCTAATTCTTAAAAATCAAAAAGGGAACTAACTTTAAACGAGTTCTGGTGAGAGCCAGTGGGGCTGCATTGGTATTTGCTTCCAACTTTTTATTTGTGAAAAAAGGAACAAAAAACCCAATAGGTTTCTTTTTCAAAACATTACATACCTGTAGCCAACCCTGAAATACTTATGGATGGGGGACAAATTACCAGGAGGTCTGGGTTCTCTTCCCATCTCTGCCACCGACTCAGTGAGAGACCCTAGGCAGTAGACACTCAGTGAGAGTCTTTTCCCCTCTGTAAAATGGAAATAGCATAATACTTATTGCACAGGAGTGTGGTGATGATCATCACTCACAAGTCAGGTAAATGTACAACACAAAGTGCATTGAATTAATTGTTAAGAGTGAAGGACTATTTCCCATTTCCTGACTGTTTTCTCTCTGAGGGGTGGAATTGGAGCCTGTAATATATGCTCTTACCATGGAAACACGAAGAATAAACTTTTTTTACTAAGATAGTTTTCCTTCATCCCATGGAAATCCTGAATGGTCCCTAATTTGGAGTATCAGGGGGTAGCCGTGTTAGTCTGTATCCACAAAAACAACAAGGAGTCCGGTGGCACCTTAAAGACTAACAGATTTATTTGGGCATAAGCTTTCGTGGGTAAAAAAAAACCACTTCTTCAGATGCATGATGGGTTTTTTACCCGCAAAAGCTTATGCCCAAATAAATCTGTTAGGGTATGTCTACTCTACGAAATTAGGTCGAATTTATAGAAGCCGGTTTTATAGAAATCGGTTGTATACAGCCAATTGTGTGTGTCCCCACATAAAATGCTCTAAGTGCTCTAGTTGGCGGACCGCGTCCACAGTACCGAGGCTAGCGTCGACTTCCGGAGCATTGCACTATGGGTAGCTATCCCACAGTTCCCGCAGTCTCCGCCGCCCATTGGAATTCTGGGTTGAGATCCCAATGCCTGAATGATGCAAAACAGTGTCGCGGGGGGTTCTGGGTACATGTCGTCAGGCCCCTCCCCCTCCGTCAGAGCAACGGCAGACAATAGATTCGCGCCTTTTTACCTGGGTTACCTGTGCAGACATCATACCACGGCAAGCATGGAGCCCGCTCAGCTCAGCTCACCGTCACCATATGTCATCTGGGTGCCGGCAGACGTGGTACTGCATTGCTACACAGCAGCAGCAGCTAACTGCCTTTTGGCGGTAGACGGTGCAGCATGACTGGTAGCCTTCATCGGCGATCTGGGTGCTGGCAGCCGTAGGGCTGCATTGCACCAGCCCCTTGCCTTTTGGCAGTAGATGGTGTATTACGACTGGTAACCGTCGTCATCGTACAGTAGTGGCTGGAACTCCGTATGTCCCCCAGTCCCCCATCCCCCCAGTCATATTCTGCTGCCTTCACAATGACGATGATGGCTATCAGTTGTAGTATGCCATTTTCTGCCAAGCGCCCAGTATTTTCTGCTAAGCACCCAGAAGAGGCCAAGGGTAATCTGGGGGCTGGCAGACGTGGGGCTGGCAGACGTGGGGCTGCATTGCTACACAGCAGCAGCCCCTTGCCTTTTGGTAGAAGATGGTATATTACGATTGGTATCCATCGTCGTCATATTGCAGTGGCTGTCAATCATGGGCACCTGGGCAGACATGCTCAGTCCTAGAGAACTGTCTTGATGATGATGGCTATCAGTCGTAGTATGCTATTTTCTGCCAAGTGCCCAGTATTTTCTGCCAAGCACCCAGAAGATGCCGAGGGCTATCAGTCATGCTGCACCGTCGTCTGTCAGCTTAAGATGTAAAAAATAGATTTGTTCTGTATTCATTTGCTTCCCCCTCCCTCCGTGAAATCAACGGCCTGCTAAACCCAGGGTTTTGAGTTCAATCTTTGGGGGGGGGCCATTCTGTGTGACAGTTGTTTGTGTTTCTCCCTGATGCACAGCCACCTTTGTTGATTTTAATTCCCTGTACCTGTACGCCATGTCGTCACTCGCCCCTTCCTCCCTCCCTCCCTCCCCCGGTCCGTCAGATACTAGTTTTGCACCTTTTTTCAGACCAGACGCCATAGCTAGCACTGGGATCATGGAGCCCGTTCAGATCACCGCGGCAATTATGAGCACTATGAACACCACGCGCATTGTCCTGGAGTATATGCAGAGCCAGGACATGCCAAAGCAAAACCAGGACCAGCTGAGGAGGCGATTGCAGCGCGGCGACGAGAGTGATGAGGAAATTGACATGGACATAGACCTCTCACAAGGCACAGGCCCCAGCAATGTGGAAATCATGGTGTTACTGGGGCAGGTTCATGCCGTGGAACGCCGATTCTGGGCCCGGGAAACAAGCACAGACTGGTGGGACCGCATCGTGCTGCAGGTGTGGGACGATTCCCAGCGGCTGCGAAACTTTCGCATGCGTAAGGGCACTTTCATGGAACTTTGTGACTTGCTTTCCCCTGCCCTGAAGCGCCAGAATACCAGGATGAGAGCAGCCCTCACAGTTGAGAAGCGAGTGGCGATAGCCCTGTGGAAGCTTGCAACGCCAGACAGCTACCGGTCAGTCGGGTATCAATTTGGAGTGGGCAAATCTACTGTGGGGGCTGCTGTGATCCAAGTTGCCAGGGCAATGAAAGACCTGGTGATATCAAGGGTAGTGACTCTGGGAAACGTGCAGGCCATAGTGGATGGCTTTGCTCCAATGGGATTCCCAAACTGTGGTGGGGCCATAGACGGAACCCATATCCCTATCTTGTCACCGGAGCACCAAGCCACCGAGTACATAAACCGCAAGGGGTACTTTTCAATGCTGCTGCAAGCCCTGGTGGATCACAAGGGACGTTTCACCAACATCAACGTGGGATGGCCGGGAAAGGTACATGATGCTCGCGTCTTCAGGCACTCTGCTCTGTTTCGAAAGCTGGAGGAAGGGACTTTCTTCCCGGACCAGAAAATAACCGTTGGGGATGTTGAAATGCCTATCGTGATCCTTGGGGACCCAGCCTACCCCTTAATGCCATAGCTCATGAAGCCGTACACAGGCAGCCTGGACAGTAGTCAGGACCTGTTCAACTACAGGCTGAGCAAGTGCCGAATGGTGGTGGAATGTGCATTTGGACGTTTAAAAGCGCGCTGGCGCAGCTTACTGACTCGCTCAGACCTCAGCGAAAAGAATATCCCCATTGTTATTGCTGCTTGCTGTGCGCTCCACAATATCTGTGAAAGTAAAGGGGAGACATTTATGGCGGGGTGGGAGGTTGAGGCAAATTGCCTGGCCGCTGATTACACGCAGCCAGACACCAGGGCTGTTAGAAGAGCACAGCAGGGCGCGGTGCGCATCAGAGAAGCTTTGAAAACGAGTTTTGTGACTGGCCAGGCTACGGTGTGAAACTTCTGTTTGTTTCTCCTTGATGAACCCTCCGCCCCCACCCCACCCGGTTCACTCTACTTCCCTGTAAACCAACCACCCCACCTTCCCCTCCCCCCTTCGAGCACCGCTTGCAGAGGCAATAAAGTCATTGTTACTTCACATTCATGCATTCTTTATTAATTCATCACACAACTAGGGGGATAATTGCCAAGGTAGCCCGGGATGGGTGGGGGAGGAGGGAAGGAAAAGGACACACTGCAGTTTAAAACTTTAACTCTTATTGAAGGCCAGCCTTCTGATGCTCGGGCAATCATCTGGGGTGGAGTGACTGGGTGGCCGGAGGCCCCCCCCACCGTGTTCTTGGGCGTTTGGGTGAGGAGGCTATGGAACTTGAGGAGGGCTGTTGGTTACACAGGGGCTGTAGCGGCGGTCTCTGCTCCTGCTGCCTTTCCTGCAGCTCAACCATACGCTGGAGCATATCAGTTTGATGCTCCAGCAGCCGGAGCATCGACTCTTGCCTTCTGTCTGCAAGCTGACGCCACCTATCATCTTCAGCCCGCCACTTGCTCTGTTCATCCCGCGATTCAGCCCGCCACCTCTCCTCTCGTTCATACTGTGCTTTTCTGTAGTCTGACATTTATTGCCTCCACGCATTCTGCTGTGCTCTCTCAGCGTGGGAGGACATCTGGAGCTCCGTGAACATATCATCCCGGGTCCTCCGTTTTCTCCTTCTAATCTTCACTAGCCTCTGAAGGAAAAACATTTGCAGCTGGTGGAGGAGAAGGGAGAGGTGGTTAAAAAAGACACATTTTAGAGAACAATGGGTACACTCTTTCACATTAAATTTTCCTGTTCACATTACACAGCACATGTGCTTTCGTTACAAGGTCGCATTTTTCCTCTTATATTGAGGGCCTGC